AGCACAACCAATAATGAGGCTGAATATGAAGCATTGCTGGTTGAACTAAAGCTAGCTAAATAATTGAAGGTCAAAAGTCTAATTGCTTTTAGTGATTAACAGCTGATCATTTGGCAGGTGACTAGGGAATATGGAACAAAAGACGAGACAATAGAGGCATACTGCTCTGTCATTCTGTGCGAAGTAAAAGACTTTGATTAGATCAAATTCATCCAATTACCGAGGGAATACAATGAAGATGCTGATCAATTGGCTTGTAGTGCATCAAGTTCTGGAGAAACATTGGCTAGGGTTATACCAGTCGATGTGTTATGTCAGCCATCCATCTTTGATGAACCGTCCGGTTCAGAACTTCGGCAAGTTAATGTCATACCATACGAGTCGAGCTGGATTGACCCAATCATGACCTTCATACGAGATGGTGTGTTGCCCGAGTGGAACGAAGAGGCAAGGAAAATCATATCAAATGCTGCAAAGTATGCTACTGTGCACAATCAGTTGTAAAGACGGTCTTTCTCGGGTCTGTACTTGAAATGTGTTACCCTCACAGAAGCTTGACAGATCTTGCGAACTATCCATGAGGGTGTGTGTGACAATCATTGAGGAAGAAGATCTCTAGCGCATAAAGTGATGACACAAAGATATTTTTGGCCGAATATGTCGCGAGATGCTGAAGAATTCTCTAGAAGATGCGATAAATGCCAAAGGTTCGGACCATTAATTCACCAACCACCTGAATACTTGCACGTAATGGCCAAACCATGACCTTTCATGCAATGGCGGATGGATGTGGTTGGCCCTATGCCGACCGCGAGGTCATAGAACAAATACGTTCTACTAGTGACAGATTACTTTACCAAATGGGTGGAAGCAGAGCCATATCCTAGTGTGACCCAAACTCAAGTAAGATGCTTCATCTGGAGTAATATTATTTGTCACTTTGGTGTGCCAAGGTCAATTATTATGGACAATGGGACTAATGTCGACAGCAAGCAAGTGAGGGAGTTGTTAGAAGAATATGGAACCAATCAAAAGTTGGCAGAAGTCAGCCATCCGCAGGCAAATGGTCAAGCTGAGATCACGAACAGAATATTCTTTACTTGTATCAAAAAGAAGCTTGAAGATAAAAAAGGGAACTGGTTGGATGAGCTTCCGAACGTCTTGTGGGCTTATAGAACAACCCCGAGACGATCGACCGGGGAAAGCCCATTTGCTATAGCGTATGGCACCAAGACAGTAATATCGGTCGAGCACTTGGTTCTAACTGTTCAAAGTCTAGCGTGGAATCAAGAGCAAAACGATAACATGTTGAAGTTTAACCTTGATCTGCTGGAAGAGAAAAGAGATGCAACGGCAATAAGGCTCGCATCTTATCAGCAAACACTCGTGAATAGCCACAACAAAAGGGTGAAGCATAGAGATTTTGCACCTGGTGATCTGGTTCTGAAAAAGAAGGTAGGGATTATCAAAAAGATGATGTCACTAAGTGGCAGAAGCCATAGGAAAAGGGGCATATATGTTAAAGACTATGGCTGGAAGATTGGTCAATAAATCGTGGAATGCCACGTCTCTGAAAAGGTACTACCAGTAAAAGATTGAATTACATTTTAAGTAATATTCATTTAGAGTTACGCTCTTACAAATGTATAGACTTTACAAGGGTATATAAAAGGAATTCAGTTGGTTTCAAAAATTGAATTGAGCAAAGAACATTTTTCTTTAAATAAAAAGTAGCAAGTGGCATTCTAGCCGAGCGTCAAACACTTAGCCAAGTAAGTGGCAAATGGCATGAAGAGCCAAATGCCAAACATTTGCACTGAAATAAAAAGTGGCAAGTGGCATTCTAGCCGAACGCCAAACACTTAGCTAAGTAAGTGGCAAATGGCACGAAGAGCCGAACGCCAAACACTTGTGCACAAATACAAAATGGCAAGTGGCATTCTAGCTGAGCGCCAAGTACTTAGCCAAGTAAGTGGCAAATGGCACCAAGAGCCGAACGCCAAATACTTGCACCAAATAAATGTCAAGTGGCAAGTGGCATTCTAGCTGAGCGCCAGGCACTTAGTTAAGTAAGTGGCAAATGGCACTAAGAGCCGAACGCCAAACACTTGCGCAGAAATAAAAAGTGGTAAGTGGCATTCTAGTCGAGCGCCAAGCACTTAGCCAAGTAAGTGGCAAATGGCACTAAGAGCCGAACGCCGAACGCCAAACACTTATGCAGAAATAAAAAGTGGCAAGTGGCATTCTGGCCGAGCGCCAAGCACTTAGCCAAGTAAGTGGCAAATGGCACTAAGAGCCGAACGCCAAACACTTGCGTAGAAATAAAAAATGGCAAGTGGCATTCTAGCCTAGCGCCAAGCACTTAGCTAAGTAAGTAGCAAATGGTACTAAAAGCCGAACACCAAACACTTGCGCAGAAACGAAAAGTGGCAAGTGACATTCTAGCCAAACGCCAAGCACTTAGCTAAGTAAGTGGCAAATGGCACCACGAAAAATCAAATTATCAACTCGTTCAAGTACAGGTTGAAATATAGAGACTTAGCAAAACAGAATTGTCATTTCATTCATCACAAAATAGTTTCTGAAGTATATGAATTGACATTGAAATAAAAGGGAAAATAACTACAAAAGTGGCAGAACGCTAGTCTGCAGTTCCCTCTCTTATGCCAGATCCATTGCCTACCCCATCATCACTAGCTGGGTCACTGTTTCCCTCACCATCATTGGCTGTTTCATCGCTTCTGGAGGGAGAGTCGAGATGAATGACCTCATCAGTTGGCTGAGCTCTGTCAGTGGCAGTACAAGACTGAATTTTCACAAATCATGCTCTGTGATGGATAAAGCAACTTGATGGATTTGTCGTCTCCTACAAACTATTGCAATTCTGGTTGTTTATTAATCATGGATTTGAGTTTTTTTTTTAGTGGCTTGGTGGGGATTCTTGTTATGGTTGGAGGTTTAGAAGATTAGTTTGTAGAAGTGACCCTTTTGACTATCTTTACCTAAATTTCTGCCTCCTTCCTTGTTCAATAATCGGCTTGTCTTATTGTTTTGGGATAATAACTATAGCTTATGTAACAGAGCCAAAATTTCGACAAAAAAAAAAATAAAATAAAGGGTCACAGAGAGCCAAAGTTTGTGTACAATGATTGTAAAAATGTCAACATAATATGTAAAGGTAACCAAGAAAGCCAAAGTTTATGTACAATGATGGTAAAAAATGTCAACATAATATGTAAAGGTAACCCAAGAGAGCCAAAGTTTATGTTCAATGATGGTAAAAAATGTCAACATAATATGTAAAAGTAACCAAGGACTTTGTAGTTCATAGTATTTTTTCTATTTTTTAAATTGGATGGTGAAGATTGGAGATAAAATTTGTGTGTGAATGGAGCGTGTATTTTTTACCAATGACAAAAAATTACCTAACACCTATAATTTTGTATAAATTTAAATTAGTCCTTTTTTAAAAAAACATTAGAGATTAGTCTTACTTTAAGATATTTTTGTTAAACAATATTTACCGTTTGAGAGATTTTTAAAAAGATTCCAAAACTAATCCTAAATTGTTTCCGGCCAAACTACCCTAGCGACTGCTATTAGAACGGATCAGAACCCTTCCTCTATTTTTTTCTCTCTCTTTTAAATTATTTATTTAACCTCCACGGTTGTTTATCAAACAACAAACAATTGTTAGTTTTTTACTTTATACACTAATTATATATTTGGTGATTGTTTTTTCAATTAATTATGTGGCTTTAGAGTAAACAACATAAACTTGGTTTTTCTTCTCACGACTAAGTTCATAGGTATATAATTGATTATGTTTCAAATATATATAATAAAAATAAAATAAAAAAATGTACATGATTGATTGATGCAATATTATCAATATTTTGTTAAACAATATTATCAAAGATTGTGAAGGAGAATCAAAAACATTGTTATGTGTTGTTGATTTGAATTTTGTGTGGAACAAATGTTTCAATTTATTTAATTTTCTTTCTTTCTTTTTTAACTGAAAAAGTTATTTCATTAATTTATTAAAATCTGAGAACAATATTCATAAAATAAACTTTCCATGGGAGGTTTCCATGTTTTTTTCTCACAATTATAAAGTTTTTATATTGCCATAAAAGTTTTCATTAGTCAAAAGGTAAGTAACTAGGATAATTTAAATAATATTATCAAAGATTGTGAAGGAGAAACAAAAACATTGTTATGTGTTGTTGATTTGAATTTTGTGTGGAATAAATGTTTCAATTTATTTAATTTTCTTTCTTTTTTTTTTTTAACTGAGAAAGTTATTTCATTAATTTATTAAAATCTGAGAACAATATTCATAAAATAAACTTTCCATGGGAGGTTTCCATGTTTTTTTCTCACAATTATAAAGTTTTTATATTGCCATAAAAGTTTTCTTTAGTCAAAAGGTAAGATAATTTAAGCAAATAGATACTTTTGAAAAATAAAAATAAAAAAATAAAAATCATTAACTGTTGTTTAGTGTTTGGAATATGCTTTAATATTTCAAGTCTCTCCTCCCACCCAACAAGTTGATAAAATCTTTAGATGCTTAGCAGAGGAGAGCGAAAAGATCAAATATTGGATTCTGACTCACAACTGAAACAGTAGCTAAACATTTTTGACATTTGGATCTAAATTTTGATAAAATAGCAAAAACATGGCACATCATAGTGTTTTTATTCTTTTTGGTAAACCAAGGACCTCATGATTGAGTAGTATTTATTTTATTTATTAAAGTAGATAAAGAAGATTAGAGTCTTAAAGAAGCAAAATGAGTGTGAGAGTGGTCTTGTGAACTTTTTACCAATGAAGAATAATAATAATAATAATAATTCTTTTTTAGTAGGTAACAATGAAGCCCAAGAAAAACCCAAAACAATTACAGCCCAATGCAGCTAGCACTTAGCCCAAGAGAATCGGCCCAGCAGAGAATCGGCCCCCAACAGGTAAGCTTCAACCCTTCCAACAGAAGAACGATGAGCAGATATACCCTTGGATAACTGCCGGTGTAGCAGATTAAGATGGGTATGAACAATCCGGTGTAATCTGTGGTGGATGGTGAGCGATCACCCACGCTGTCTAGTCTGGCGGCTGAGGTGGTGGACAAGAGCGAGAAGGATTGAATGTCCACTCATTGGCGAGGGCAGCAGCGAGAGAGTCCTTGCCCCTTGGATGATGATCTGAGCTATGGAGTTAGCAACGAGATGTAGGATTGCCTGTTGCGACGAAGGTGAGTTCCTTGTTCCTTTCGCTCCAAATAGTGTATATGAATACTGTGAGAGCAAGCTTGCAGAGACGGATTGTAGGGCAATTGTTGATCCAATGATGACTTGCCCAGTGTCCAAATTGGGGTCAATTGATGATTCCGGAGTAAAATTTTTTATGAATCTCCATAAAATAGTTGAAGAAAAGCTTATCATCATGTTGGAGAGGTAATTTTATACTATCATTTTATTGATTTTTTTTATTATATATATTTAATTTCATAACACTTTGAAGGGTAATAATGTCTTTTTAATGTGATGGGTAAATGATGACATTACCGTAAAGTCGTTAAATATGACTAATACCCTAAATTATAACAAAACTTATTCAACTTCAACAGCTAATCCACGATTGTTGTCTCCTCCACAGGACAAAAAAAGTGGATATCACAGGTACCAGAGAGTCAACTGAAGCTGCTGCAATGGATTATGACAGAGCAAAAGAGGTGAAGGCTTTCGATGATACAAAAGCCGGTGTCAAAGGACTAGTAGATGCCGGAGCCATGAATATCCCTAGAATATTCATTCGACCACCTGAAGAGATTGCTCAAGACTTGAATTGCTTGACCATCCCTCTTCAAGTTCCAGTTATAGATCTAAGTTACATAGAAAAAGATGATCATCGACGCAAAGGCATTGTGGATGAAATTCGGATTGCATCAGAGAAGTGGGGCTTTTTTCAAGTGGTTAATCATGGGATACCCTTAAGTGTGCTGAGTGAAATGATGAATGGTGTTCGGGCGTTTCATGAACAACCTTCTGAGGTGAAGAAGGAATTTTATACGCGTGATCGATCGAAAAAAGTGAGGTTGGAATGCAATTACGATCTGTATCGTTCAACAACTGCTAATTGGAGGGACACCATGAGCATTTCTCTACTGCTTTCCGATCATCTTGACCCTCATGAACTGCCTTTGGCTTGCAGGTACTTTGTTTATCTCCATCTCTGATTCTTCAATCTTGATTTTTCATGTTGTTGACTTAATTTAGCCAAGTATATATAGTTTGGATCACTGATCCACCAAAATCCTATTAATAAATACATAATTACCAAAAATATAAATGTGTATCAAATTAGTACCACCAACTAATCTCGACATGAGGGGAAAAAAAAGTAGCATAAGCAAAAGAAGATGCCGGGAATTTCTTGGACGGCGTTCCTAGTCGTACAATTGCTATTTTCAGATATAAATTTGTTATTCCATATTAATTAAATTTATACTAGACATAAGTATGCAGAGAACAAAACGGATAAATGCTAGGAAAAAAGAAAATTAGGAGGGATAATCATATAAAAAATAAAGACAATAACAAACTTCAATCACATTCATTTTCTATTCTACAGAGATTCGACGATTGAGTTCATCAAGGATGTTTCAGAGTTGGGAGATACCATCTTCGAGTTATTATCAGAGGCTCTCGGCCTCAAACCGAACCATCTAAGAGACATGGGATGTTCTAAAGGGTGTGGTTTTGCTTGCCATTACTATCCAGCATGCCCAGAGCCAGACCTAACTCTGGGAGCTAGCAAGCACTCTGATCCTACATTCATCACCATTCTTCTCCAAGACCAAATTGGAGGGCTTCAAGTCTTGCATGATAACCATTGGGTTGATGTTCAACCCATTGTTGGAAGTTTGGTAGTTAACATCGGGGACACTCTCCAGGTTCGTTAAAGGAACAATTATTATTAGAGTAATGCTAATGGAAATCTGAATATGATTTACCCAAAGCTAATGAAATCTTAATTTGGCACAACCAGATTATATCAAACGACAAATTTAGAAGTGTGGAACACAGAGTGCTGGCCAACCGCGTTGGACCAAGAATTTCCGTGGCATGTTTTTTGACAGCCGCTGCTGCTTCTACAAAGGTGTATGGACCAATTGAAGAGCTGATATCAGAAGAAAGTCCCCCACTGTATAGAGAATTTACAGTAAGTGAATATATAAGCAATTTTCGCTCCAGGGCACTTGATACGCCTGGCCTTGATCATTTTAAGCTATGAAGCTGCGAATTCCCACAAGTCATACACTGTACTATATAAATAAAACGTGTGGAGCACTTCTATATGTGTGTATTTGTTTCCCACAAACTATTGCAAATTCTGGCTGTTTATAGAACAGCTAAAATATAAGTATTCTTAAATAATACCAGTTCTGGTAAGGATTTGAAAAGATTCAGTAGCTACATGTTTTGAGATATATATATATATATATATATATATATTTTAGTGGTTGGGTGGGGATTCTTGTTATGGTTTGAGGTTTAGAAGATCAGTTTGTGGAAGTGACCCTTTTGACCATCTTTACCTGAATTTCTGCTTCCTCCCTTGTTCAATAATTATTTGCTTGTCTTATTTTTTGGGGATAATAACTATATCTTATGCAACACAGCCAAAATTTCCACAATAATAAAATAAAATAAAATAAAGGGTCACAGAGAGCCAAAGCTTATGTACAATGATTGTAAAAATGTCAACATAATATGTAAAAGTAACCAAGGCCTTGTGGTTCGATACTATTTTTTTTATTTTTTAAAATGGATGGTGAGGGATTGATTTGTCTGGTGTGTGAGTGAAGCGTGTGTTATTTAACTCCTATAATTTTGTATAAGTTTAAATTAAATTTTTTTTTAATGATTATTGCACAAAATAGTTACAATGAATTCCTAGACTTACTTTTTTAATTGATCAATTATGCAACAAATAAATAATTGGAGATGTAAGAGACTTAAAAGAGTATGCAACTTTATCTAAATTGGGAAGTAGATTTTCTTTCTAACTTCTATTCCAAAGCATAAGATCAGTGTACAAAGGTTACGCTATTTCATTTAGAAAAATCACACTATTTTATTTAGAAAATAAAGGCTTAATTAATATGTTCACACTATTTTATTTTATTTTGTCTTCACATGTAAACTGTTGTATATGTTTTAGAGCACCTTCAATATTTGTGAATATTTTTTTACCCAACATGTGTGTGTGTGTATATATATATATATTTGTGTAAATCTAATGTGTAATAATAGATTTACACAAATAAATTTAGACTATTTATTTTTAGTTCTGTTCTATATTTTTTGTGTAAAAACATATCTCTCAATAACAACCCTCCAATGTATATCTGGACCCCACATAAGTTTTACAAACCTATTTAACATAGGGTTGATTCATTAATAGAATAAGAAAGACGGAAGAAAAATAGAAACTGTCATTTTAACCCAATAATATCTCACCATACGTGGGGAGGGGGGTTCGGGCAGTGGTTTTGGAGGGAGAGAGAGGACGGTATATTTGTTCTTTGTAAACAAGTTTCTTTTGTACTTTCATAGCACACTTTGATGGGTAATAAAATCATTTCAATGTGTCATAGCATAATTTAGTCAATAAACTCATTTTTTATAATGGATCTAACGAAAATTTGGAGGGGAGAGGATAATATTATCACTCCAATGTTAGGTGAGTATAACTAATTAGGTCAAACATCATATTTTAACTTTTAAATCTTATAGTTTTTCACTTATATTTGTCATTTCATAAAAAATGATGTGGATATGAAAGAACATTATTCATTTGTCCAAACGACTTTTAATATTTTCATGTACCACTCTTTTGCATAAGGGTACTACTTCATTCTTGTGCACGCATATACCATTTTTGTGCAAACCAAGTCATCAAAATATATGAACAAAAGTGGTACTTTTGTGCATAAACGTGGTACCTCTATTCATAAGTGTGATTCTTACCTATATAAAAGTAGTAACTTTGTGCACAAAAACTTGATAATGTAATTTTTAATTTAACATTAAATAGTAAGATTAAATTTGTCATTTCATAATCCGGTTAACGGATTGGATACGTATTTTGGGAGTAATGTAATCACGTTTTAAAAGTATAAGAATTTTCTAAAACAAGTTAGGGTTTTATGAGCAAAATTTAAATGTAATGGGGGTTTTATGAAATGCTTCAGTAGCTACATGCTTTGACATTTGAATTTAAATTTTTGTAATATAGCAAAAATATGGCACACCACTGCTTGTTAGACGCTTTTTCCTAAAACTACACGTATGATGGACTTATTATTTACGACAGATCAGATCGCAGTAAACGTACAATGAACACCCTCATGGCAAGCCATATATTTCATGGAATTGGATATGGAGGTTTGTTTAACACAAAAGGTGGACATGTAATTGATCATGACTGGCATCCAGAGGCTTGTTTAACACAAAAGGTGGACATGTAATTGCCTCCCCATAATATTCCCTACCATTGAAGATAATTAATGGATACATGAAGCTGAAATGAGAGCTTGTGGTGAGTGATGATGGCAGGGAGAGGAATGTTCGACTAAACACTTTAAAAGGGAGAGAAACTCTTATCTTATTGATTATTACAAAAAATAAATAAATAAATCAAAAATCAAAAATCAAAAAAAATAAACAAATAAACAAAAAAAAAAAATTCTATCTTATTGATTATTGTATAAGAATCCTCTTTGTTATATAAACAGTTGCCAAAAAACCGATTCGGGCATCGTAACACTACTTTTATTAAAAGAAGAGAAGGCAGAGAGTACAGTTGCTGACCTGAGCAAGTTGAAACGCTGAAGATGCTTTGGTTGTTGGCAAGTTCCTTCTTTTGCTAGCCCCATATGGCCCTGTACAATTCTGGTGGAATTCCCACTTGATACTACTGTACCTGTATCATTTAGTATAACATTTAGCAGGCAAACAGATGAAATTCTTTCTAATTCTTGGTCATTCACTCTGCTACAAGAATATTAATTTACTTAAAGTAATCAAACACATCCTTAAAGAGTTGAAACCAGTTGATTTGGTCACGTATTTTCAGTATCACCTGTCACATTTGATGACATAAAAGCAATATAAGCAATATGGCAAAAGAATATTTGCAATGCCTTCTAAACATTAAAAGAGTTTACTTTGCCAATTACATTCTCAAATTGATTCGCATAAAGCACTTAGGTTCTTTGATGGTACACCTCTATTCGATTGGATTTAACAAAATTGATTCATCATCACAAAATTAGAAGAAGAAAATTAATCAAGGATATAGGTACGTAAGAATATCCGGATTTTCAGAATCTAACAAGAATAACAATGTAATCAAGAGTGGAGTCACAGAAAGATCAATAAATAAATGATTCCCCTTGGATTTGCTAATGTCATTCATGCACAAGGAAAGGGAAAGGCATAATATGATGATCAAATATGATTCGATTAAACAGTAAAATGGTTTTATGGGCGCCCTACACGTATGGCCTTCTTCTTTGGCTCTGATATCACTTTAACCACCATCTTCTCTAAAGATTCGGGATGTAACTTATTTATATCTGCTCTGAAGATTTCTAGTAATTGTCCCTAGTTAAGTTCTGATCAGGTTTGGGGAATATTGGATTTAAGAGTTAATGTACTGAATGTGAATCAGAGAATATCAATTTGCTTTCTTCATTTTCTATCGTGACATCAAGTTGAGGAAGTGTCAGATTATGGCAAGAATTGAATCAAGAACAAGATGCCAACATCAAGCACTGAGAATGGCAACTAACTTTCTATAATCTTCTATATAATATACAGATGCATTCAATGACCATTCATGTTGTGTTGGAAAAGAAAAGAACAGAGGAAGCTTATGGCAGCAGCAGAGGCATTGACACTTATAGGGACCTACAGGAGGTTTAAGCCACACCTCCTCATGGTTTTGGCTCAGATGGGCTATACTTTCTTATATTTCATCACAGAAGCTTCCTTTAATCATGGGATGAACCCTCATGTATACATTACTTATCGACATATTGTCGCTGGCTTAGTGATGCTACCATTTGCCTATTTTCTTGAAAGGTAAGCCAGATTTATTTGAGTGAACACAAAAAATTCAAGTATTTTCATCAAAATGTGTATCTATTTCTTGTAGATTCCGTTAGTTTGTTCACAACTATATGCTACAATACTTGTAATTTATTACTTAAGCTACTAGTTGTAGTTATTGATCTTTCATTTTCTTTTTCCTGCAGAAAAATAAGGCCTAATTTGACATTAGCTCTGTTTCTGGAGATTTTTGTTCTCTCTCTTTTGGGGTAAGATCAACTACACGTTACGCGTAAATTATTCTGGAGGAATACATATATTAACAAAAAGAATTTCAATGATTACAGGGTAGGTTTGACTCTAAATATGTACTTTGCAAGCTTGAGATACACCTCTCCAACCTTTCTTGCATCAATGGTCAACACCATAGCATCCCTAACTTTTGTAATGGCAGTAGTACTCAGGTTAGCATCCCACTAATCTCTTAGAACTACTGATCTGTACAAAACTAAGCTACGATTAATCGTACCATTTATCTAAAAGAAGTAAGTTCATGCAGATTGGAGGTTGTTGATCCTGGAAACCCTCGTGGGATAGCCAAAATTCTAGGAACTTTGGTTTCCTTGGCTGGCGTGACGATCATGACTTTGTACAAGGGACCCCTCATGAAAAACTTATGGCATCCTCTAATCCATATTCAAGGAAATGCAGTAAACCATGAGAACTGGTTGAAGGGTTCGATTCTTACAGTAGCAAGCTGCATAACATGGTCTATATGGTACATAATGCAGGTTTTTAACCCAAACTATACTCATTCTTACTTAAACTGGAGTTACTTGGTAAAGCGTGAATCACTTGTCAAACTATATAAAAAATTAAATTAGTATGAATGTTAACAAGTGAATCAAATCTGCAGGAGATGATGTTTACTATAGAAGAATTAAAACAGTTTTTCATTAACAGTTAAGAAGTTCATGAAAATTGCAGGCATTTACATTGAAAAGATATCCAGCACAATTGTCACTGACCACATGGATGAACTTTGTTGGAGCTGCACAATCAGCTGCGTTCACAGTGATTGTAGCACATGAAAAAGCCTCTTGGACCATTGGTTTCAACATTGACTTGTGGTCTACTATATATGCTGTGAGTATATAGGAACTGAAAATCTAACTTTTGTCCACATTTAAGTATCAGATTTTCTCACAGTTGATCACTGGTTGTCTATATGACAGGGTGTTGTGGTCTCTGGCTTAATAATCTTCATTCAACTATGGTGCACAGAACAAAAAGGACCAGTTTTTGTAACAATGTTCAATCCCCTTTCCACAATATTAGTGGCAGTTCTAGCATACTTTGTTCTGGGCGAAAAACTTTATATGGGCAGGTAAATTAATTAATAAATACATAAATACATATATAGAGAAATATGAACATACAACTTTGAAGTGATTGTATGATCTGAACATTGGCTCTTATGTGCAGTATACTAGGAGGAGCTATTGTCATTTTCGGTCTATATTTGTTGTTATGGGGCAAAGAAAGTGATGGAAAAGAACTGAAGCCAAAAGAGCAATTTTATGAAGAGCATAAAGACCCTAAAACACAGGTATAGAGAGGATTTGGAAGAAGAACCATAAGGAAGTTATAATCATTTCCTTCACCAGCAGATGAGGAGGTCACTGCCAAGACATTTCTGATCAATAAAACAAGAAGAAGACACGAGTAAGAAAGACACTGAATGAACTGAAGTTCATTTTTCGGCCTTTGATGTTGCTGAGTACTTATCTTGGTACCATTTTTCATATATAAATGGATCAGCTGCATCAAGTTCAGACTCCAATTGTGAACAAATAGACTTTGAATATTTTTCATTGAAAAAAGTTTGTAAATCTCTCTGTATAAGGAGCATATGAAACTAGATGATCACATTACAAACATGCACAATATTCATATTACAAGTGTTCTTTTTACACTTGTTAATAATGAAGTGTTAAGGAATATTATATGCATAATTTTCAAATTACATGGTTACAATCTTAGATCTAGTTAAAACACTGTATAAGACCAAAACAAAATTATATTAAATAACCATATTCCTCATACTTTATAAAACCAAGTTACCTGTTCAAATCGTGATTCGTTCTGTAGTCGGTTGCTCGAACTCCCTACAAGGTATATGAAATTTGCTCAAAATTGCTTCTCACTCAAGCCGAACACGAGTTATGCTAGATCTAGTTAGTTAAAGGTTCGACTAAGATTGAGCAATCCACAACTCAGCTTGTTAACAACCCATCTGTCCAGAGGCACCACCAGTGTGTACTGCTTATAAGTTGGACCGTCTCCACATATCCATCATATTTGAGACCTATTATTAGTTATGGTGCTTCACCACCTCACTTTCCAAGTTAACCTCCAAAGTAAAATCATACCTAATATCTATCAAAAGGAAAACAAGAAAATAAAAATCATACAAGTCAATTCACTATCCAAAATATACATGCTGTTGCACATGGAATAGTTATCATTCTTAAGAAATTGATACAAGAGTTATAGAACTTAAAAGGTAAAAATATAGAGAATATTGCTGATTTGTACCTGCAAGAGTGCTTCACAAGCCCACATCTAGACGTCAAAGAGCGACATAAAAAGTTAAGTTTTCAGCTTCATAAACATGTCAAGACAAACTAATTCGATACATTCTCATAGTAAAATAGCTGCTAGAGAAGTAGATCACGAGCTAATGGAACCTTTATTAAAAGAGATCCAGAGCAGAAGTATACTGTAAATTTTAAACATTACAGAGCAATTTGACATCGGATGGGACAGAATTGGTCAGTAAAAAGATTTTAGCAGAAGAAACAAAATTTAAATGACATGAGCTTCGTTTTTGAGCTTGTCAATCAACTCATCCACAGAAGAAACAATGACACCTGCTTTTCTCTTGGGTGGTTCAGTGACTTGAACAACCTCAAAATCAGATTTGATTTGCACATTCAACTCCTGTGGAGTAAACTTCTTTATGACCTTTGATTTTGCTTTCATTATGTTGGGAAGTGTGGCATACCTTGGCTGGTTCAGCCTCAAATCAGTGCTGCATGAGAATGACAATAGAGCAAAGTTAATTAATCTCCAAAAAAGATAAATAAGTGATAGATGCATGGTGTACTCACTCGCACACACACAACAGAGGCACGCAGCTGGCGTGCCGTGTGCACAGACTAGCTTGTGAAATAAAACTATCTTAAATTTTCTTTATAAAAATTTATTCATCCACAAAAGGCCAGAAGTTATTCAAGGCATTTCATCAATAGGTCTTCTTTTTCTTCTTCTTTTCTTCCATTCTTTCTTCTTCTCATTTTTTTATTTTTTATTTTTCATCTTTCTTTCTTCATTCTTTCTTCTTTGACAACTACATTCATAGTTCAAATTTCCGTGGATATGATTATTGCAATCTTTCCAAGTAAAACAGATAGTTTAGTTATTTTTCATATGTTGGTCTTATAAACAGATGGCAGTCAAGATATATCATCATCATTCTTCCAGGATGCCTTTATCCCATATGGTGGGATGTCAGTCAAGTTATATGTAGCTTCAAAATATTGAATTCACTTAGCAATAAACAATCCAATTTGCTGGACTCTAATTGATAAGATAGGAAGAAGAAGAAAACTCAAAAGGTTCAAGTGTTTGTTTCAAAACGTTAAACCATGCATGATCTAGCATTGTAAAACAATTAAATAAATGGAAAACTATCACAAAGAATACGAGAAGATCAGAAAAATACGTTATTACTGCTGGTAAGTCTAGACACAAAGTCTCAAGGCCACCATCCACCTCTCTATCAACTGTAGCTACTTGTTTATCTTTGTCCAGCACAACCTAAAAGAAGAATTAGTAAGTCAAAAGGAATAGGGTGTGTGCGTTTATTGACAAGGTAAAAAAATATATATTTTAAAAGTCAAAGGAACAAGAGTTGAAAATATTAGAAGTTCTTGGGGGCGGGGGCGGGGCGGGGGTAAAAGGAAAAAGAAAAACAATAAGCACAACAAGAGAACAAAAGAAAGACCACCACTCATACAAAAAAATTCAAAACTTGTAAAACCTTTAGAATTCGAGGAGTAAAAAATAGAAGAAATTTTTTATTAGTCCACAAAAATATATGTTCAGTACCATCAAATTCATGGCCTGTTGTAAATTTTTTTTGATAAGTAATTCATGGCCTGTTGTAAATGGATAGATCAGAAGAAAACAGTGCCAAATCATTTAAAAGAAAAGATTATCATTGTACTAAAATGGCACACGAATCCTTAAGTTTTAACTTACATGACAAGGGGCAAAACAATCATACTCAAATAGTCCTCCATAGCGTTGATGGAATTATTTTTTAATAAAATTCCTGTTAAAATACACTTACAAGTAACAAAAAATATCAAAAATAGGCTCCTAAAGGGTGCAACCCCGGCACATGAGATGCACTCCAGAAAGGCCTATAATTCCTACAATATCAAAGGATCTAACTGCTAAAAAATATATATAAAATATTTCCTTCGCTTCTTAACAAACAAGGGAAAGTGTCATCTCCTGCTCTTTTATTCCACTCAACCAAACAAGAAAAGGGAATGACACTTTTCCTTCCCTAGAGATGTCTCATCCACTTTTCCATCCTTCATACCAAACGCAACAATAAGCTTATAGTTTCTTCGCACGAAAAAGATCTCCAATTCTCTTCTCCCTAAAGACACCATATCAAGCACAAAGGATTGTTCCAACCTTCCTCTTCCTCTTCCTCCTAATTGATATACTGCCACACAACTAAAAGATATATCTATCACAGTATGAAGGAAGGCCCTAGACACCCCAAATAATATCAATTAGAAGGACTGCATCTCTATAGCCACATGACAAAGAATCAGCAAGTGCTCCACCAAGTCCCCATCTTTTTGCACATAGAATACCAGTTAAAGAATTTTTCCTCATCTTCCACAGGTTATCAATAGTTAAAATAATTCCACACAATTTCCATTAGAAAAATATAAATATATATATAATAAAACAGTTGAGATTTGTACAGCCAGAGATGGTAGTATGAGAGAATAGTGCTTCATCTAGTACAGTAAACAAGTACTAGTAAAGATGGTATTATGAGAGAGTAGACTTCAACTAGCAACTTGGATTATAAAAATTTCTATGAGGAAGGATTTGCAGAAACACATCATAGATGTCATTAACATATGAATAGCATAATACCAATGAACTTTGTTTTGGAAGAAGAGAGACTATATCATTAATACATGTGCCCCCTAAGTACTACTAAGTCAATTAAGAAAAAACAGATGCATAAATTCAAGAAAGTCCTAAGGAGGAGAAAGAATTTCTGCAAGAAGAGACTAAATTGGTAATGCATAGCACAAACAAGAAAGAGCAGAAGGGGTACATATTTTGCAGAGAGCAATGGTGCCATTGAGGCAGAAGTATTCTCTAGTGATATTAAGGTAACAAATGGCCAAGAGCATGCAAGAAATACATACACGACTATTTATTAGCCACTGAGTTAAATAATTTATAGCGATGTATATCTTTTTAGTTTGAAAGTATGTCAATGTCTAAAATTGCAGAGTAATAGGGCAGAGCCTCACTGCATAACATATGTTAAAGGTACTATATGGTCTTATTAGACATCTCAATGGAAAAACAAAAGTTTCTGAATTAGTTTCTAGTAAATTAAGAATTAGAAACTTATTGAATTCAAAGCTGAAAGTAATAGATGAATTAGAACGTACTTTGAAAAACAAAAAAGGGCTGATATAAAAGGATTGAGATTAAATAATTGTACAAGGAAGGTATGAATAAATGTTCACAAGAATGTAGCTGGACTGGGCCATTATCCAAATTAACTTCATGGTTCAATTATGAAATTCAAACAAGTCCAAAGATGTCAAGTCAGTTCATAAAACTAAAGAATGGGGACAATCTTGAAATCAAGTGTCCTAAGAAGGAAAGTAATAACATAATAGGCTGCCAAGCACCCTGGTACTCAAGTGTAGAACTTGAACATATTATGTCTAGCAACACAAATAAATGAGGTTGAATAACTTAATCTAGTGTCAAAGAAAACAAAAGGTAAAATCATGATATTGAATCTAGTTGACAAGTAAACAAGGTCCTCTTGTTAATGAGAGAATGGAATTTTAAACATGAACTTGTCAATAATGTGGCTCACCTTGGAAGCAAAGGTCCCTTGTGGCCAATTGAGAAGCCCAGCCACCATTTGTCCTGTTTGATTGCAATCATCATCAATGGCCTAAATAAGAACCAGGGTATCAGAAAACAGTAATCAACCGCAATCTTTTAGAATTAAGGAGGTAAGAACAATCAATAACAAACCATAGTCAAAGGATCGAAATTTGGAAGTGACCCACTATCAGAATCCTCCTATTTGATTCGAATAAAATATTAGACCCTACCGCAACTATATAAATAAACAAACAATTAACAGTGCCAGTTCCATTTTCAGGTGCAATTTCCACAACCCTCATATTGTATAGTTCCAAAATTCACCATGAAAGTTCCCCCAAAGTTGAAAAACACAAAAACCCATAACAATTTGAAGACTCGATTCCACAGAATTTTACCCATTTCACAAAATACCCAATTCATACAATACATAAATACATGTGGGTATGAAGATGAATTCGGACCTGTTTGCCCAGAATAATGAGTCCAGGCTTCTCAATATCGACAAGTGCTTTGATCATCTTTGCAACCGAAAGCGGGTAAAGCATTTCCTGTGTCTCGACATGAATTGCTCGATCAGCCCCCATGGCGAGACCAGTCCGGAGAGTGTCGACGCACTGTGTGGGACCCATGCTGACGGCGATGACCTCCGACGCCAACCCAGCTTCTCTGACCCGAATAGCCTCTTCCAGAGCTATCTCGCAAAATGGGTTCATCGACATCTTCACGTTGTTAGTCTCAACGCCGGTCTGAGTGAATGGAATGTGCATGACATGAGTGGGGGCTTTTTGGATCAAAGATATTTATATAGAAAGTGCCGAGATTTGGTTACCTTATCGGGTTTGACTCTGATCTTCACAGCGTAGTCGATGACTCGCTTGATGGCCACCATTATCTTCATGCTTGTGTTTTTGGTTCTTGCACTGATACGATGGCGAGTGGACAATGGATAGACACAGCAAAAGAGCTAGTCCAGATGAGAGATTAATTTACACATTGAAAGATCTATTAATTAATATTTTTTTCTTTTACAATTTTTATTTTTATCTGGATAGTGCATTAATTTATAAATTGAGGGAAAAGACATTCTATTAGGCATTATTACTGTTATTCATTATTTATTAGTCTCTCCGTTCGATATTAGTAGTTTATTTTTCCTTTTTATATATCCTAAATTAATTGTTCTTTTTGAAAAGTCAAAACATATTTTTTTTATATTTTTATTATTGTCTTTTTTCTTTTTAAAAAATTTTAAACTTTATAATTATATATATTTAAATTAAAAAGAACAATTTAATAATTTAAAAAAAAGACAATACATTAATTGCATATTCCCTTAAAAACTCTAATTTCTAAATATGAACTTCTATTATGAAACAGAGAGGTAGTATTTCTTCTTGTAATTTTGGTAAGTAACACATTCATTCATTCAATATAGATTTGAATTTCGATTTTTTTAAAAAACTTAAGAAAAAATACCATTAAACTTCAATGTTTAGTAGGAATGAAATATTATTAGAGACTTCAATTTTATAATAAAAATATAAATTAAAAACAAATAAATGAAAACATCATTTATAGATTTTTTTTTTTGCTAAATATATATATACATATATAGATTTTTTTAAAAATATACACATATATGTAGACAATTGACATGTCGTTAAAATATTTCTAAACGATAAAAATCTTTATGCACATCTAAAAGTTTTAGGGTAAAGTAGAGTAACACCCCATGATGTTTGCCAAAAGAATACACAGATGAAACTTAGGCTATTCTGGAATAAAGACACTCCCTCAAGTTTGATACGTTTGCCAAAGACACCCCAATGGTAATAAATTGACATTTTTTCTCTTTAATTTTTATATTGACCATGAAATGACGTTTATATCCTCACAAACTCATCCCCCCCCCCTCCCCCCACACACACACACACATACTTTTGGAGGGTTATCACAAATAGTTCACCATCGCCGCCTGTATATATATATATATATATATATATATATATATATATATATATATATATATATACACAGGCGGCGATGGTGAACTATTTGTGATAACCCTCCAAAAGTAGAACAAGTGCCTTACTGATATCAATGAGAATTGAAAATAAAAATTAGGTAACCATATATGAAAATAAAAAATAGAAAAGAACATGCAGGCACTTGTTCTTTTCAACCTTTGGTGAACATATATGCATACACAGATGAGTTTCGCTGGAGATGATGGGTAAGCTTCTGGGTCGCGGCAACTGTTCATGCTTGGGGTCCGTCGGTCTGAACTGGGCTTCACCGGATTTGGGGCTCGCTGTATAGAATTGGGTTTTGTTGTTTGAAGCTTCGTCGGACTGATGGCTCCAATTTTGAGCACCGTCGTGTGTTAGATCAAGACCAGGCTCTAATTTTGAGTGTCATCTTGATGTCGTTGCCGGAGACAGAGAGAATCAACCGAGCAGCAAAAGCATTCACCGCCGACCTCATCGAACAACTATTGCCACCACCGCCGTTAAGCCCAACGCGTGACTTGTGTACTCCGGCGTTGAGTAAGCTCACCGAACTGGGTCTCTCTTTGCCGGTCCATTTTTGGTAGTTCGTTGTCGGAATCGCCATAATTAGGGCACCAATTGCGTGAGAATAGAGGACCCTTTTTGCCCAATCGGGGTCGCCGAAAAATTCTTCTAAAATCTCACCTGTTTCTTTGGTGGTGAAAGATTGAATTCATGTTTCTAAGGCTGTTGTTATCTCAAGTTCTTCATTATAAGCTTCGATTATCTCAAATCGGCATACGCTTTGTATTTGGGTCCTCTCTCAATGATGAAGCTCTCTGTTGTGAGTTGCAGAAGATTGGATTTTTGAAAATCGAAAAATTGTGGGAGGATCAGAGACTTGGGGTCAAGGGCGGTGATAAAATAATCTAGGGTTTTGTTTTGTACGTTGGTAGTTTGGTAGCAGAGTACCCATTGTTGTTGTCATTTTTTTTTTTCCAGAAGTTATTGTTGCTGCCATTTTTGTTGAATCTCAATGCTTACTCTGCATTGGGTCTCTCTTCGCTGGTCCATTTGTTGTTGAGGGTAATTTGGTCTTCAATTATTTTAATATTTTATAATTAAAATTAATATAATAGTGAAAGGTAATGTTGGCTTTTTACATGTTTTAAGGCTCTGTTTGGTTTGCAAATATCACCAGGGGTTTCATTGTCCCAAAATAAGTTAAGTTTCATCTGAATGTCCTTTTACCAAACCTCAAGGTGTTGCTGTACTTTATCCAAAGTTTTAAATGGTGCGCATTTTGGACTCGTCATCGTTAGTTTGAAAAAGGTTTGGCTTATTACTTAACTAATATTGATTTTTCAATTGTTTGGTTGTTTCTTGATGAAGAAAGAACTGTTTAATTTTGTTTGATAAAATTGAAACAAATATAAGAGCTCAGCTTTAAGTGTTAACTGTGAATTGATATTTTCATTTACCATTATTTCACTTTTAAGTTTAAATGATTGGTAAGGTCTTTTCCTTTAGGCTCTATATGTTTCGACGTTTTTTCAGGTAAAATATTTTTTATTTTTACTTTGTCGATATTTGGCAAAAGTGTACGTCAAAGTTGAGGTCGAGTCCATTGGACGGAAAATGTAAAATAACTTACCAAAAATTAATTAATAAGTTATTTTTGTTAAATTTTAATATTTTTTTTCTTCGTAAATTTTTTACGAAAACCAAACACCATAAAATAAAAAATATTTTCTGAAAAATATTTTACGTCCAAACAAATGGACCCTTAAAATTTCTCCTCAATTTTTATTGCAAATGATTTTTAAGTGATATGAGTGCTAAACTTGGTTATCAAATGAAAGTAATAAAATAATCACTTTTAAAAAAAATAATAATAATAAGGAGTTTAATTAAATTATTAACACCACCTTAGCATTTGCTTTTTTCTTTTTAGGTCACTATGGAAGAGTAGATGCACCAAATATGTAAACTACACTTCGCTGAGGTTTGAACAAATTATACACGAATAGACCTTTTAACATTTACTAAACATGTTCGTTGGTTGCCGAAAAGTGACTTAGAATATAAAAAATCAATAATTTTCTTATATCATAATAATACATTTTATATAAGAAAAGGGTTAAATTATCATTTTATAAACTTTAATTAATATGGTATCAGGAAAAAAAATGTTAGGAATCACTTAGTACACGCACCAAATCTCATGATGTATCAAAGTAATAAATATTAAATGATAAATTCGTATGTAATTTGCTAGTTAAGCATTTCCTTCATGTGAAAGAGATTAAGCATTATGCATATATCAGAGCAATGGTGTCTACCAAAACAAAAACTCCATCAAACTCATGCATTGTCTACATTTTCACCTTGGCTTACCCTACTTTTCTTTTTGGTTCTTTACCATTTAAATGAACTTAAAATCATTGTACAAAATCATGGGCCACGGGCATTTCCTCCTTGCATTTGGGGCCTTTGCAAGTCGTCCTATAATATTCATGGCCAATGGGTCTTTGGGCAAAAATCGTCTCCATGTCACCTCTCACCTCTCACTCGAGACGGTCCATGAGGATCCAATAGCTGTGATGAAGCCAACTCAGTCACTTTTGCCTTGTCACTGTTTATAAGCGCCACATCAGCACTGAAGTTTGAAACTTACTTTCTTTTACCATATACGAATATTGTATACAAAATTGATACTTTCATTTATCATATACGAATACTGTATACAAAATTGAAATACAAAATTAACTTATAAATACAAAATTAACTTATATGTGGGACCCACATATTTTTACTTTTCATCTTCTATTCTCTTCTCTTCTCATTTTTTTTCTTGTCTGTTTAAGTCTAAATCATTAAACATACACAAAACACATTCATATACACAAATATAGATTATATTTTTTGGGTTTGTGATTTTTTGGGGGAGATCTATTGAAGAAGGCAGAGACAAAGACGATTTTGATGATGGATTTTCTTCCCAGCCACTTAGCCTTCGTCGGAGAATAAAAATCGAAGGCAATTAGAAAGACAACTTCATGGACTTACCGGCGGGCATAGTACAGCGGTAGCTTTCTCCTCTTTCTTCTTCGTCGACATTAATGAAGAAAAAAAAAATTGAAGAGAAAAAGAAAAGAAAAGAGAGAAATTTTTGTTTTTTTGTATTTTTTTTTTTGGTTGAATTTTTGATACCAACTAATTGAGGCAAGATTTGGGGGAGTGAATGTTTTGAGGCCTCTTTTGTTTTGTAGATAGGATGATTACACAAAATTTATTTTTTTTGGAATGTAATTACACAAAATTTTAATTTGTCAAAAGATTGAGATATATACATATACGCAAAACAATTGATTTGAGCGAGACATAAGATTATTATGTGAGAAAGAGAGATAATGATGTATACTCACCATGAGAGATGATTATGGTTTGGTAATTAATAGATAATGATCTTGAATTTAAAAATGGGTGATCAAAATCTGGGAGATAATATGAGACAAAAAATTATTTCTTGAAAAATAGGTCTAAATAGCATATTATTATTTTTTCACTTTTTGCTACTTATTTAAAAGTTATCATTACCAAAGGAAATTTTGTATAAATGAATTATATATCTCAATCTTTTGAAAAATTAAAATTTTGTGTAATTACATTCCAAAAAAAAAAAAAAAGTTGTGCAATCATTCTATCTACAAAACAATATATTTAGAATCACAACAAATTTACCTATACATTATGCATCTTAAAACATATTTGAGATGCATAATGAATAGGTAAATTTAGAATTTTAGATTATAATAAATAAGAATCACAAGTTCTTACAATATGTATCATGTATGAATTGAATATTGTATCAGAATATTTTTATAACACATATTAAAAATATATTTCACAAAGTATTGTCTTCCCTTCGGTTGTTGATTAATAAAATTTTATTTTGAAAAAAATAAAAATAAAATAACTATTTTGCCAACAATGAAGTAAAATAGCAATGTTTAATCAAGATATGTATATGTAAGTATTCATTATGTGGACATCAATTTATAAAATAAGTGATACGTGTTACAAATAATTTGTGATGTTAGATATAATTTACGTTTAAAACATGTTACGCTTAAGTTGTGTAACATGTTTTCACTTTTGACAATGGGACAATCTTCCACTCATAAAAGAAAGTTAACGGATTTATTTTCTCCCATTCCTTTTTATATTATTGTTGTATTATAAAGTTCATAAATGACATATGCTACAATTAAATTGAGATGTATCATATAATTGATATTTGAAACATTATACTTTAAAGTTGTGATGTTTTCAAGATATGTTTAATACTACGTTTAAAGATGGGTGATCAAAATTTGGGAGGAAATGGATTTATTTTCTCGCATTCCTTTTTATATTATTGTTGTATTAAAAAGTTCATAAATCATATATATTATAATTAAGTTGACATGTATCATATAATTGATATTTGAAACATTATACTTTAAAGTTGTATGTGATGTTTTCAAGATATGTTTAATATTATGTTTAAATATGGGTGATCAAAATTTAGAAGGAAATATGAGATAAAAACTTATTTATTAAAAAATAGGTCTAAATAGCATGTTATTATTTTTTCACTTTTTGCTACTTATTTAAAAGTTGTCGTTACCAAATAAAATTTTATGTATATGCATTATACTACATATCTCAATCTTTTGACAAATTAAAATTTTGTGTAATTACATTAAAAAAAAAAAAAAAAAACAAATTTTGTGTGACCATTCTATCTACAAAATAAGGCCTCAAAACATTCACTCACCCAAATCTTGCCTCGTCAGTTAGAATCAATAATTCAACCCAAAAAAAAATACAAAAAAAGAAAATTTTCTCTCTTCTTTTCGTTTTTCCTTCAATTTTTTTTCTTCTTCATTAATGTCGACGAAGAAGGGAGAAGAGAAAGCTACCACCATCCTATGCCCGCCGGTAAGTCCTCCATGCCCGCAGATGAAGTTGCCTTTTTGATTGCCTTCGATTTTTATTCTCCGACAACGGCTAAGTGGTTGGAAAAAAAATTCATCATCAAAATCGTCTTTGTCTCTGCCTTCTTCAACAGATCTCCCCAAAAAATCACAAACCCAGAAAATATAATCTATATGTGTGTATATGAATGTGTTTTGTGTATGATATATAGCTCACAAGGTAAATACCTCTTTTTTACTAAAAAAGCCATATCACTCATTTACCTCTCCACGGACACCCTCCACTGAGAGGGTACCAGGAGACGAATTTTTTCCCTGGTTTTTTACTTGATCAATGTGGGGCCATTAAGGGGTAATGACATTTTGCTTTAAATTTTGTGACCCAATGGTTAACAACGGCCCAATGGTTAACAAATGATTAACAATAGCCAGTAGGCCCAAAACCAACCTAAATCAATATTGACAGACAAGTTGGTGATGTGATCTTTGCTCCAAAAAGGGGTTTGGTGATGTGATTACTTCAACAGGATTGGAACACTCTGTATCTCCTACTTCAAAAGGTGGATGCCAGTCCCCCCTCTACTTTTATTTGTCTCTCAATTCTTGTTAGTAGGTCTCTCTCTCTCTCTCTCTCTCTCTCTCTCTCTCTCGCATAAACAAAAGCCACAACCACTCTTATTCAATCATGAAAAGAAATTCAAACTATATGAAGAAGAGGTTGTTATAGGCAATAATGAGTATAATCATGGGTACAAGTCAATGAAAAACCAGCCTCTAATCTCAAACCTAGTTAGTTTCTTGACAAATAATGATATATCCTTCCAATTTTGCGCTTCTAATCCCGTCACCCCATTTGACATCCATTTGACATCCTCCAAATTAGAAGATACATCATTTTTCTTTTACAAATTAAATATATGTGAATGTTGACAAAAAAAAAAAATTACAAAGATAATCGTAATTGCTCTAAAAACTATTACGAGGCGCGCATCATTCAACAGTTTACAATTGTACATACATATTCTCAGTCTACATATCTTGAAAGACAAACTAATGTATATAGCCTCAAAATAATTCTAAAAACTCTATATTTAAGTATTACAAGAACTGGAAAAAAAATAATAATAATGAATTGAAAAGGGAAGAAGTCATAGTTTTATGGCTCCAATTGAGTTGGTAGAATTGAATTTCTTGATCCCCTTCCATATCCAAACGAAAAGAAAGATCTTCTGACTCTGGAACTGCAATCTTCACTAGAGCTCACCTCATTGTCATGCCTGTTTTGTTGAACAAACTCCTGGACTGCTAGATAAATCTGTCGATCAGCCGCCGAGTCCATCGAAAAAGACCTCCTTATGGGCTGGATTGCAAACTGCTCATCTTGCTCTCTATTGTCAATCCATTCATCACCCATACTCGAAACAAAATTAATTTTTTTCGCTTTCTTCTGCGCCATTTTCTGTTCCAACTTTACGGGGAAAGGACCAATTGGTATCGGACCTCTTGAACTAAATCTTTCTTGCATTCTAAGCAAAGATTGATCTGCATTGTCTTGCTCTCCCAATTCAATCACAACAAAATCTTCATCGCGGCCTATGAAGTCATCAGTATATGGATTCGGATCTTGAGGGAAAGAGTTCACAACAATAGCTTGATGGTCAAATGGAAATTGTGGCGGTGTTGTTGAAATGCTTGTCCTGCAAAGTGGGCAATTTGCATTGCTCTGAAGCCAAACATCTATACAATCAATGTGAAAAAAGTGACTACAATTTGGTATAATTCTAAGCTTCTCATCTACTTGGAAGTCATTCAAACAAACCGCACATTCGGTAGTTTGTTCTTTTTCACCGCTCTTGAATTGAAATATTGGGATCGACCGAATCACGGATTCATCAAGTCCTCTGTTTTCTGTGGCCGGAGAGTAGGCCATTAAAGGGTCTTCGCGAGGCCGATTTCGCGAGAACGAAAATCGTCTGAGAAGATCCAGACGCTGCCAATTGAGGCAGCACTTGATGACAAAGACGTAGTAGCTGACCAGCAAGAAAGCTGTGGCTAATATGCCTATAATGGCAATGGCTATGATTGGGAAACTTGTATTGTTTGGAGGATGCAGAGTCGAGTTTGGCGGTGGGGTTTTGATGGAAGAGAGAGCTTGTGAACCATGGATGTACAACAAGTGTTTGTTGATCAGGAGATCCATGAAAATGGTGTTTCAGAAGTTGTAGTCAGATGGGTTTTGCTTAGATCTTGAATTCACATGACATGTTCAGTAGAAAATGTTAAAGAGAGATGGGTAGAGAGAGAAGCAAACTCACATTGTATTAATGAAGAAAATGTTGGAAAGGGGGCACTGAAGACATGAAGTTCTTAGAGAGAGAGAGGGAGAGGAGAGAGAGATTTGGGTGAATTCAATGTGGGTACTATTGAGGGGGGACATGAAAAGGCATGGAAGTTAGAATTGAATGAGAAAATGTTGTGAAGCTTTTATTAAGGAGAGAAAGACTGTGGAAGTCTCTGAGCACAGGGTTAGGTGGTTGGTGAATATTTTCTCGCCGTCCAATAGTCGTTTGGTTGGCAAGAAAATTTTGAAGCTTTTTCTATTGATTATTGGAACCATATTTTAGTACAACACAGTAGGGTATGGGCCATTCTTTAATAGGATATTGTATGGAATGGACAGCTATCCACCGTAAATAATGACGTCTTTTAAGTTTTAATAAAAAGTCATGCTAACAAGTGTCCTTTGTACTGTTATAATGGATTACTTTATTGAATAAATTTGTTAGTTACAAGGTGGTAGAACTTAATGAATTTTTTTTTTTTTTCTTTTTAATTGATGTTTATATTTTACCCAAAAGATCCCTCAGGCTTCAAGTGTAATTGAAATTTATAATTCAAATTTTTTTAAATCCAATGCAAAATTATTAATTTATATGAACCTGAAATATTTGAAAGCCCTGATCCTCTATTTTTTAATCCAAAATTTCAGAGACTTTGGACTTTGAAATTGATAACTCCATGCTTGTATGCACATGCATGTTTGTCAAACAATGACTGATTAATGTATGCATCTAATTTACCAGTTGACCAGTTTGGAAGATTTTTACACCGAGCAATATACAAAATGTACAAAAACAAACTTCTTTACATACATGTCTATTTTCGAGACAGTGTCTAAATTGTTATACCTTTTTGTGATAGTACAAACTTACCTTACAAAAAATTTCGTTACTTTAGGACCGTTATAATTACGCTGCCATTCACCAGGGCTTCGGTCGTCGGTTCTTCTGTCATCAGGTCACCAACTTGTTTGAACTTTTGGCATTAGGCAGCTCTCATACATAATCTTACGGCTTTGCAAAAATTTGTATTTTTGGTAAACAGTCGTCCGAGCCATGTCACTGTGACCCGTTTTGTGATTATCTTGTGCCCCTATATATATATATATATATATATATATATATATATATATATTGGATTCAAAGCAAACTATAAAATGCATATTTCAAGTAAAAAAGGAAAAGAAATAATAATACATAATACTACCCATAAACTAAAACTAAAATGGCCATATAACACTTGTTTAAATAATTAAAACTCAAAGTTAATACAGTATTACGAATTGGGGGAGCATCTAGCATTCTTTTCATATTAATATAATGTGCTCCATTCGTCTTAAAATAAGTGTTATATATATATATATATATATATATATATATATATATTTTGTCTGTCTTAAAATATTTTCTTTTTCAAACAATATATTTCACACCTTTCTATATATATCAATGGAGTTTAAAATTTCAGACTGGAATATTCAAAATTTAAAAAGACAAATTAGTAAATTTTTAAAAAGACAATACATATTCCACATGTCTCCTTAAAAATTATTACTTTCCAACACTTAAATTAAGGGAGTATTAAATTGTCAACAACTAATAATGGTGTTTCATTGTAGTCCGAAAACATGAAGGACACCAACCAAATTTAAGAATCGAATGCTCAACAGTAGTTAGTTGTGTAGAGGGTACGATTCTTCTTCTAACTACTTTATACTAAAGTTGATGAAAACTTCACCACTTTTTCATGACATGATTGCATTGGAGCGGGTGAGAGTTAAACACGGGGTACTTCTCATGGTTTTGTTTGATTCAAATTTCAATTTTCTAGACTCTCGTATTTACATGTAAATTTTTATTTTTTATTAACAAATATTTACATGTAAATAGAGCTTTTTATTCTCAATGCTGAAATAGACATTTAATTAACCAAAAATTGTATTCAAATACTCAACCAAAATGTAATAATAATAAGAACAAGGCAAAGTGCAAGAAATTTCTTTTTATATATAATAAAAAATATATGCACAAAACGCACTTCTGACTCCTCTTTAGCATGAACATATAATCCCTCAATATTTAAAAAATATGTGCAAATTGTCCCCCTAATATCTATTTATAGTCAATTTTTACCAATTTTTTTTTTTTTAATATAAAATTCCCCACAAACCCTTTACATGTTTTTATTTATTTATTTTGTTTTACAGGCATTTTAGGTACTTTACTCTTCAAATCGTGAAAATGTCCTTCTTTGCTCAATTTTAAAAATGAAAAGGTTTTTTCTTCTTTTTTTTTTTTTTAATACCATGAAATTTTCTCACATTTTATATAAAAAATGTGATTTTTTGCACTTCAACCAAAAATAACTATATTCTCACATAGTTCACATAATATTTTGACAAATTGAAACAATTATATTAGGTATATATAATAAATTGGGGAAGAAAGTGAATGAATAACTAAAGCTTTTCATATGCAAATCCATTGTTAATCATCAAGCAGAGACCAAAAAGTCACATGCAACCCACCGTCAAATTGCTTAAAACTGGGGGTCCAAATTTCCAAATTTGAGGCAAGAAAAACTGAAATATTTAATCTTACATTCACATCACATTATGTCTATCCACCGTCACAATTTGAAATCTTTCACATATAGCCAAGGCAAAAAAAGCCGGTACATTATTTTTTTATAAGCAAATTAAGGAAGTACATTGAAAACGGGTCCCAAAATCAGAAGGCCATTGTCAACGACGAGCAGGTATCCCATCAAAATTATTGATGATCACACGAAAAGTCAAAAAACCGAGTGGAGAGAATCCTAAAAAAAAAAGTGAAGACTTTTTAGATTATATAGATTACAAGATAAATGGAGGTACCGACACAATTTGACAATTCCATACTATGCCTATTGACTCATTAGAGAAAGACAAGGCCACTTAGGTAGGAAATGAAGACGTCTTCTCTCCATAAAGTGTTGTCCCACACCACAGTCAAAAGTTTGACGCCACAGTCAAGGAAACTTCTAACATTTCTATATATAAGTATTTCATATCAACTTTATGCAAACTTTTGAATCACATCGACTTTAGTAAAGGATTAAATTACGTATATGTTCTCGATACATTGAACAAATTACAAGTATTGAACAAATTACAAGTCCGCCGACCTTTTAGTATTTTGATCTCTCTCACGATTTGGCATTGTATGCTTAATGACATCTTTTAGTATATTTTTTTTTTCTATAAATTTGTTGATCAAATTTTATAAAATAATAAATTTGTCATTCTCTTATATAAAATGTAATATAATAAACATTTTATTGTAATAAAAGGGTATTATTGACTTTTTACATTAAAAGTTATTTTTCGATTGTCGACGACCTTAGAAAGATCAAAGTAATAAACTTAGGTGTATCCGTTTATAATTTGTCCAAAATTGAAGAAAAATCGGTCTAATTTACTCTTTATTCAATAATATGAAAACAAATGCATGCCTACACTGCTTTATTTGGTCGAGGAACTCGAATTTCTTCCCGTGTAAAAAATTATGTACACTCATCCTGTATCGGTAGTATAATACTACATTATATCGCAATGCAATACTATGCAACAATGACGTAATGTAATTATTGTGTTAATGTTGTAACTTGTAAAAAGCACAAGAAAGACACAAGATAAAACGGACACAAGATCATGCTTAGTTCTTGTTTGAGTAAAGAAATTGCCTAATAACCGACCAGCAAAATCTCCTTCTATATATGATAGAGACTTTTCATACATTTTGTTATAATTTCGTATCAAGTGAGGATGTATTTGCACATGTCTGTTAAATTTGCACCAAACACTATACTTGGGAAAGAGCTCGTGTAAGCTTAATCCGAGGCCCTTGAAGAAGTTTTGCCATTTGAATATTTTTCTTCTAGTACAATTTATGGTTATTTAATTATGTCCAATTGTTTGACAAACTTTAAAAAAGTAAAAAACTTTCTTTGTTGGAATCTTTTACTCGGTCAAATCTGATTCAAATAACTTGCATGGTCTCCAAATTAATTGTCTGACAAGCAATCCATACTTAATTATGCTTTATCTTATACAGTACTAAACAATTTACTTGTATAGTTGATAGTAGATCAAACCAGTGCACATGGGAGGATGCAGTAGCTGCTGGAGGAGTTGCAGACGTCAGAGAGAAATATGTACATATATATATATATATATATATACACGTACCCATATTCAGTTGAACAACATTTAATATAGAAATATGTATACATGTATATATACATCAACTGTCGCTATAAATTTATTTATATACTGTAGGATATTTGCATGGATGTCTTGTGAATGTATCCAATCAAGCAACAGTTTACCGACTTTTAACGTATGTCTAGACTAGCCCACTGTGATGTTTTTTCATCACGTGGGTGCTTACGTTGTAGTCACGTGACTGCACGTCCCCACACAGGAGAGGTGTCAAGCTTGGGACGTCTATGAAGATTGAAAAATAGTAGTAGAGAAGAGGGGCCTGGAAGTTTTGCATTTGAAACCGTTGTCTTTCACTGTTGAGCGAAATTAAAGATACCTCTGCTAATATAGGCTAGGCCTGGAAGTTTTGCATTTGAAACCGTTGTCTTTCACTGTTGAGCGAAATTAAAGATACCTCTGCTAATATAGGCTAGGCTCTTACCGACTACTTAAAAAAATCTTAGGGTGTGTTTGAATGTGAAGAAGAAGAAGAAGAAGAAGATAGGGATTAATTGTGTTTGAGTGAGTTAAATAGAAAGTAAAGAGAGGATATGGAGAGATAGGGAAGGATACATCCCTCCGTATTCCTCATTTGTTATCTCTCTAAAATTGAGAAGATCTTTAAAAAAGACATAATGGTTTAGTGATATTTTAATAATATCAAAATTAACTTCCACAAATAAATATATAAATTTGTTATTTCATTCAAGTCTTAGTTATATAAAAAGGTAGGATAGTAATTTGGTTATTATTATTATTTATTTTTTTTTTTTTTCTCTCCTCTAATTTATCCAAATATAAATAAAAATTATTATTATCTTTTTCTTTTCTTTCTTTTCTAACTAATACTATTATTTATTTTCTTTTCTCTCTTGTGCATCCAAACGCATCCTTAATTGACTAATGTATAGGTACATACATCATCAACTGTGGCTATAAAATTATTTATTTAGGATATTTGCATGGATGTCTTGTGAATGCATCAATCAAGCAACAGTTTACCGACTGTTAACGTATGTCTAGCCCACTGTTGTGTTTTTTCATCACGTGGGTGATTACGTTGTTGTCACGTGACTGCACGTCCCCACACAGGAGAGGTGTCAAGCTTGGGAAGTCTGTGAAGATTGAAAAATAGTACAGAAGAGGGGCCTGGAAGTTTTGCATTTGAAACCGTATGTCTTTCACTGTTGGTATAGCGAAATTAAAGATACCTACGGTTATTATAGGCTGGGCGCGCTTTATCCACTACTACTCAAAAGCTACTGATGTATTATCTCGTTGCAGTTGGGTGACTAAGGACAGTGAGAGAAGTGGTAAAAGTGATTATTTTATTATTATTTTTTATTTTATTTTTTAATTTTATTTTTGGTAATTCCAGGAGGGGCAGCGTTAAAATTTTATAGATGTATTACTGAAAAATATAAAAAAATACTACTATTTAATGATAAAAATAAATAAATTCAGGGGGCCATTCTACTTCCTTTTTTAAGTCTATACCTGAGTTAGATCATCCAGTCTATCCGAATGATACAGTAGTTGTTAAAATTAAAAACATGTGTACCATAACCAAAAGAATGACACCCTAATTAAGCAAATGATATTCTAAAGTACTCCGAAGAAAAAAAAAAAAAAAAATCAAGGACCAATTGCCATAATTAATTTATAGTGGGGAAAATGTCACGTGTTTTCACGTGATTTGAAAACCGTCCTTGCAAAGTTTTATTTTTGTGTTCTTTTAGGCACTTTTTATATACGGTCAAATGTTGAAAAAAACTGGGGATCTGTAAAAGAAAAGTTATTTGATTGATTGTGTAATGTTTGCCGCTAATTATGGCTTAAATAATGTGGACAGTGAAAAAGCATATATTAAGAAGGTATCAAGGTGTGGAAAGTGGATAATAAACACCAAAATCATGTTGATGTTGTATGCTGTTGCTTATCACATTCTTACTTTTGCCCAACTCTATTAATTAAGGAATGCATTTACAACAAAATATCATTATTTTTAATTTTTTTTTTTGATAGTTCAGCTCTTAAGTTGAGTTTAAATCTTAACTTTGCTTTGGAGAAAACAATTTGTTATTTTTCTCTAAATTAATTGTTTCTTTCGTAACTTCTTCGACACACTCTTTTGCCCACGCCTTGGGCGTTATATCACTAAGCCAAAGATATCCGTTTAAAAAGTAGCATTTTAGCTTTTGTCGTACACTTGTTAAAAGAATTTTTTTTATCGACACTTTATAAAGGAGTAGGTTAATGACACGTTGATCAAAAGAGAAATACTAGTTATAATTGATGGTTAGAAATAGAGAGGGCCGCCAAAAATAACATTAATATAACCAACTCCTTGCCATGGCAACTCCTAAAGCAGGGGACCAAATGCTAGCCACTGCTACATATAACTGGGTTTGGGCCATGTTCAGCTACGGGCTTGTGTTGGTTTGATTACTGATGGTTTCATGACCGTTTTTTGGAGTCATCTAGCTTTATCACAATTGGTCTATGGTATTCTATCTTGGTCTTTAAAGCCTGAATAAATAGTGAAATGCTTCCTTGGATTCAGTTGAGTTGTATAGAAGCCCACATGGATCATGTTGAGCCCTCTAAAGACTCCTCTGCTAGCTATGGCCCAATTGTCTCATTGGGCCAATCAATTAGAAACGAAGCCTTATATCTCACAAATGCTATAATTGCCTGCTGAATTTCCTTTGCAGAGCAACTTTGATTCTTTTGAGTCTGGCTAATTATATGCTTGGGACAACTTCAAAGTTCAAAGAATAACCTAATGGAAAATACTCACTCCACAATTTAGAAGACTGAATCTCTTTGCGGCCACTTGCAGGAAAAAGAAGAAGAAGAAGAAGAAGAAGAAGAAGAAAATTACTTGGTGCATGGTATTCTAAAACACTTAACAGTACAATTGTATGTGTGTGTGTGTGTGTGTGTGTGTGTATATATATATATATGTTAGGGTACTGGTTTTTGTAGCTACCCAATAGATAGAGTCCAATACGGACTCTTGTCATCTTTTCAATAGGATGAAAACACTTTATGTGGTAATTATTAATTGTCGAGTAAAACCAATTGTCAAGTATATCATTATATATATATATATGTGTGTGTGTACGTGTGTGTGAATGGGACATCCAATGTGATCCAAAAGGAAAACGCTAAACACTTTGAATTGGAATTCAAATTTGTTTTTACTTGTAGAGATGAAAACGAAAGAGTCAGATAAACATCATGTTCTGTCCACATGATAGGAGTTTATTATTTACCCATGACTAGTCTTGTTTATTCATACTATTTTCTGCATCCAAAAAGAGACTATATTATTTAGGTTCAATATAATCCGCACATTTTGTTCTTTACAACAATTCTACTCCTATTTATTATTAATAATATTATTATTTGTTTGGCTCTACTTGGGTCAATAATACCGTATTGGTTGTTATCAGTTTGTGTTCAAGTGCTACAAGTTTGTAGGAGACATGTGAGACATGCTTTGTCTTCTTAAAAAATTATTAATTTACCTTTATATTCAAGTTTGAAAATTTAAACTTCAAAGATATATATGAATATATGTAAATATATTATTTGAAAAAAAAAAGTAGATAATTGTTTGAGAAGGACCAAAAAAGAAAGCATGATATTTTTTTTGAGACAGAAGGAGTACATATTAGCTTGTTGAATAATTATTATATACACATTATATATATATATATATATATATATATATATATATATATAATTCAATTAGGATTAAACTAATGCATGAGATGCCTTAATCCCCTCTAGTCCAGTAATCTCATATCAACCACGTAAGCAAATTAAGATGGTCTTACATCAATTAGAATCAAATTCTAGATTAATGGGACCTACTAAATTAATTGTCAGTTGTAGATCCTGGACCACCCTCTCCCTCTCCTAATATTCAAATGATAATATTTTTATGCATCATAATTACAAAAAAAAATGGTATAAGTGTAGTTATAATTATAAATAATCTCTGAAAAAATATGTTCTTCCAATTAAAACCCAAAAATAGAATCATTTTCAGCATAATTGATTCACACAAAATTGATGATGTAAGAAGGGGCGAACGCATGTGATGTTAGCACCAACTCTTTGTGCTTTATGTGCACACGCGTGACGTCCAATCTCCAACTAACTTTCTTAGTAATTTTTTTTTAAAAAAATCACACAGAAATTATAAAAACAAAACATAGTAGCATATATATATATATGGGCATAAAAATAAATAAAGGAATCTAAAGCCATCGCATTGACCATCCAGATACATTGGATTAAACCTTTGGGTCACAATTCGAAGGTTCTTAACCACGTGTGAATAATTCCCGCCCACAAGAAATTCCACGTGGCATTGTATGGACCATCCTTTTCGCCAGACTTAGTTGCTTTTCTTTATTTAATTGAGATAAGAACTTATTAAGGTGCTTTATTTCCACCCATATAAATGTCACACTTCATTGGCCTACTTTGTAGCATATATGAAACCATGGATGAAGAATCAAACAGAGAAACAAGGGAGGTGGGAGAAGTTAAATATAGAGGTGTTCGGAAGAGGCCATGGGGAAAGTTTGCGGCGGAGATTCGCGACTCGGCTAGGCACGGTGCCCGCGTGTGGCTGGGAACATTTAACACGGCGGAGGAAGCTGCCCGGGCCTATGACCGGGCTGCTTATTCCATGAGGGGTCACTTAGCCATCCTCAACTTTCCTGAAGAATACAATTTGCCTAGTAGTGGTGCCTCTTCTTCTTCGTCTTCAATGCCCGGGAATGCGGAGGGAAGAGGAAGAAGTACTGAGCATGGAAAACAAGTGTTCGAATTCGAGTACTTGGATGATAAGTTGCTGGAGGAACTTCTTGATGATGGTGAGAAGAAGAGCAACAAAGACTGAAGTTTCTGCTAATCTGAAGTCTTCAAAGCTTAATGTCAACATAACTACATAAATTTTCTTATCTTCTCTCTCTCACATCCTTTTAGACTTTTCATTTTACTCTAAAAAAGAATTTGCTTTATGCTTATATTTTGTAAAGATAAGAGAATGCTTTTTTTTTTTTTTTTGGTATCTAAGTGACATGAGAATGTTTTTCCTTTCAAGCTACACCTAAGGAGGAAGAGGATTCCCCCCTCTTTGTAGGGATCCTGTTATGCATTCGGTGCACCGAACGGCAACCGTGGGCAGCTCAAAGTTGGGCTCTAATTCTTTTGAAGTTCAAAGAGTTTGTCTATGTTATTGGGCCATTAGCTAAGTTGATATGATTTCTCCTTTTTAGAGGTTGAGAATTCGAATTTTACTATAGACACGTAAGTAGTGATGTATACTTTTGCTTTAATTTTTGAAAAAAATATTTATAAACAGTCGCTCAACTATCTATTTTTGTTTTGCAACAAAAATGTGGTCGAAAATTGACCAAGTTATTATGAAGACCAAGATATGAGAGTTGTGTCACTTAATACATGTCTGTGTAATTGAAATATAAGCATTTATGTACGGAAGTTTGATTTGTGGAAGGTTTTCAAATTGTGGTTTAGATGATGAGTGGATGTCATCACTCCATACAAAAATTGAAAGGGACTGTTTATTTTAACTTTTGTCAGGTATATAACTGACAATAAACAACAGGATAATACCTTGGCCCATGATTATTGGAGAGAGGTTGACTATATATATATATATATATATAGAGAGAGAGAGAGAGAGAGGAGGGGGGGTATTGCTTGGATATGGCCTAACCAAAAGGGGGGTGGGGGGGGATGAGGAATGCCTGCTGTCGGGAAAAAAAAAAATGCCTGCTGTCGAACTAACCAGCCTGTATAAGTTGCACTAATGTGCATGGCAATGGCTGCTCTAAATTCTAATATGAAAATCAACCAAAGCTTTAAGGATGGCCCCACCTTGTTGTACTCCTTAATTCCAGCCAGTCAATAAGCTGCACTAGCGTGCATGGCAATGGCTGCTCTAAATTCTAATATGAAAATCAGAAGCTTTAAGGATGGCCCAACCTTGGACCACAGAGTACTGAAGAGTCAAACAGAAAAACAGACACTTATTTTGTATGTATTTGGAAATATTATCATCAAAGTCATTGAATTCAATCGGTCATGTATCAAATTCAACGTCACTTACCACTTCTTCTTCATCTTTGTTATTTTATTTTATTTATTTTATGTGGTCTCAAATCAAGTGTGACATTTAAATTAAAAATGAGTCTTACATGATGACGTACATATTATATTACAATACAATACTGAACTGTAATCAACGGGTCAATAACCTAACGGTATCAGTCTCTTACTTTTTAAATGAAGGTCCGAGGCTCAAGTCTCATAAAAGAAATATACTATACACATTATGTAGAACAGAGAAAATTGACCATCAATACCTATATTATATTGAATAAATGGTGTCTGCGCTTTGTAAAAGAAAGAAGAAGGTTAACAATTGAAAAAGGTAATCTCACCTTAAGAGGTTTCAAAAATAAAACATACAACTTCTACCTTTCAAGATGAGAAGCATAAACTCATTTATTATTGAAAGTTTGTACAATCGGATCAAACACATATCATTTGAACTATATCTCTAATGGGATTGCAACAAGCTCGACTGAATCATAAAGCTCCTTTTGGATTCCTTCGAGTAAATGTAATGATTCCTCTTCAAACTCAACTTCGATGATATAGACTTTTCAATTACATTCTTCTATTAGTTAGAAAGAGTGATTTACACACCTTAAAAGAACACAAGGAAGTATATTTGAGGATGAAACAAGAGGATTTTTTGTTATTGCATTTTACAACTCTAAATTTATATTTTTTTGCATTTATGTCCATAAAATTTGAAATTGCCACCATTGAAATTATAAAAAAAAATTCATCTATATAAATTTGATATAAATGTCTAAATCCGTCCCTGGTTATACTCTCTCCTATTTCCTCATTAGGAGAAAACACACAATAGCCTAATACACACTGTAGAATTATAATTATTATTTTAAAATTAAAAATATTATATGCTTTTAGATATACTGATATTGACTAAAAGATATAAAGATGCGACGAATGATCCAATTTTTTTACCTTTCAAAAAAAAAAAAAAAAAAAAAGGTCATTATCAAATTATTGTCCTTCTTATGCTAGTTGTTGAAAGAGAAAGGTTACTTAAAAATATAATTTTGAGATTATATTTGTATAAAGTGATTACTCTTAAATTCGGTTTCACTTTCTTACACTAAAGTTGACCTTAAATTGCATCATGGAATGGTGCACAACGAAAAAATTCCTACAAAGTCTTAATTAATTTACTCCAATTCATATTCTAGTGCGCATAGATGACTAGATACACATATTCCTCTGTAGATGATATACAAAATCCTCTGCTTGGAGGGATTTTATACATTTAATTAGTTACTGTCCTTCAAATATTATTATTAATAATTATTATTCTGTAAACAACTTGCACAAATATTTAGACTTACTTGACCGTTCAGCAGTAAAAAAAAGCACACGTTTTTTCCCCCCTTTTGAAGAGGTGAAGGAGGTATCATCCAAGCCAATAGGTTGGTGGTTAAAATATTAAAAAGTTAATATATATATATATATATATATATATATATATTAATGTGTACAACATCTTGAAACAACTTTTAATCAAGTATCTTTTTGGTCTGATATGGCATCAAAGGATGATCTTAACCTTTATTCTTGTCCTTAGATTCTTGATTAGTTCTGTAGAACGAATATTGATCTTACCTGATAAATAATTGCTTTTAATGTGATGCCCTTTAGTCCTTCCGTAATCTCCTCAATTGATTTTCCATTATTGATACCACCGCATCATGCTAACCACAAATTCTTATATAATTTCAAACTATTAAAAGTGTAACTAAAATGTTTATGTCATTACGAGTCTCTTATGGTTGTAGTTTCATGACATTTCAGTTGTCTAAAGTGAAATTTCAATAGTTTAAATTTTATTGGGAACAAAAAATGAGTGTTTGAATTATTTGTCAGAATTAAAATACATATATATATACACACACATTATTGCATCTTACTAACGAAAAATTCTTCTAAAATTTCAAACTATTGAAAGTATAACTTAAATGTGTACGTTGTGTAACGACCCACTCCACCATATGGTATGATATTGTCCGCTTTGGGCCTGAACTCGCACGGTTTTGTTCTTGGGCTTTATCCCAAAAGGCCTCATACCAATTGGAGGTGACACACTTACATATAAGCACTCACCTTTCCTCTACCCAGGCGATGTGGGACTGTGCACCCGTAACTCGCCAGTGTGGTAGCCTGACAGTGTCTCTCGCACCCACCCACGGCACACCCGCCCGCAAGGTCATCACAATCCACCCCCCTTGGAGGCCCGACGTCCCCGTCGGCACACTTCCGGCTGGGTCAGGCTCTGATACCATTTGTAACGACCCACTCCACCATATGGTATGATATTGTCCGCTTTGGGCCTGAACCCGCACGGTTTTGTTCTTGGGCTTTACCCCAAAAGGCCTCATACCAATTGGAGGTGACACACTTACATATAAGCACTCACCTTTCCTCTACCCAGGCGATGTGGGACGGTGCACCCGTAGCTCGCCAGTGTGGTAGCCTGACAGTGTCTCTCGCACCCGCCCACGGCACACCCGCCCACAAGGTCATCACAATAATGTAATACCCCGATATTTTAAAAAGGATTTATTAATTAAATTAATTTATATTATATTATTATTATTATTACTTTTAAGTGATTTGTTTTATTTAATTAGGTGCTTGATAGTTGTGATTTGTTTTATTTAATTAAGTGCGTAGGTAAATTGTATTGTTTTAATTAAATTATATTTTGTAATTTTATTTGTTAAATTTATATGGTGTTTGATTTGTGGAATGCTAGTTAGTGAAGTGTTTATTTGATTTGCGTGATTTTATGTTGGTGTAACTTTATTGTTAATTATTTTAGGTATTTAAGTTATTTGGATTGGGATTAAAGGAAGTTGGACCAACGGATGTGGTATTGGGCTTGAAGGAAGCCTTGTTGGGTTAATTGGTAAAGGCCCGTGGTTGGGAGGATATTTAACAATTATCTTTGCATAATTATACCTATATAATTACATGTGTATATTAATTCATTATTAAATCATGTGTAGGGGCATATATGTCAATATAATTATATATTGATATATATAGGTATATATAATTTATTTAACTAATGGTTATATATGGAAGGTAATATATATATACTTATATTAAAATATATGTATGTATATATATTATTTAAAAGATAAATATTATTTATTTTATATGATAATCCTAATGGGAAAAGGATTTAGGTTTTTGGATGTGTATAAATAGACATATAAGACTTTAGGGTTAGGAGTTTTTCCACGTTAGAAAAATACGAGAATTAGAGAGAGAAGAAGAAGGGCTAACGAGGAGGAGGCCGGATCAAAGAACGTAAGAGGAGACCGGATCTGGAAAAGAAAAGGCGAGTTCTTCTCTACTTCTCCTCTTAGAACTCATAAACTTATCACCTTGATTATTGAAATAATAATTGTATTGTATTGAATTAAATTATTAATCGAATTAGATGAGCATGTTTATTTTTTTGAAATTTTTTTTTATAGATTTAAACATGTGAATATATGTATGAATTGTTCGGATAGTTTAAATATTGTATGTGAGGGAAGGTTAATTAAATTTTATTTCTGAAATTTTCTTATAGTTTGTTTTAACTTTATGTAGCGTGATTAATTAAATTAAATGGACCAAAATATAATTACATATATTTAGTTATGGCCAAAATTAATAAATTAAGCTTGTGGATTTTTCCTAGAATTTTCTGGACTGATTTGATATTTTTTTAGAAAAATTTGGATATTTAGAATTATATATATATAATTATATATGTGCAAATTAATTATATATATATATACTGTATATGTTTACGCACTGGTGGTAGTTTAGAAGGGCGATATTCCAGTGTGGTGCGGCCTATGCTAAAAGTATGTGCATGTGAATCTGGGGCATTGAATTTTGAAATACATAATAGATTGATT